GGAGATTCTGTCTGTGTTCGTCCGTTCGTGTCGTTCCTTCGTATCTCGTTACGTCGCGTTATTTCGTCTGCTCAGTCATCTGTCATATAGTTTCCGTATAGGTAGCGACTAAGCGCCACCATTCGGGTTCACGCAGCATCACGACCACAATGTTATCAGAGGTGATGCTGCCGACCGTTCCTTCCAGTTCCTGTCTGAGTCTTGTCCAGCGGTCACACGCGAAAAACGTGTGTTCCGCGTCGTCTCGTTCGCGTCCACAGTACTTACAGCCGGGTGTTCGTAGTCTGTTCATATTGTAAAAGTACTGTCGGAAGTACCCGTGGCCCAACAAGAGCAGGGTGACGTAGAAATTTACATCATCAAATTTCCTTCCGAGCCACAGCTTCAAGTCCCGTATCAATTGTCTCGTCCAGTTACCACCTCGTTCCTCTGTCCATCGGCCTTACCAAATGTCGATTGTTCTGTCGCGCTCAGCGATTGCCGCGTTCTTTCGTCCTATGTCCGCGCTACTCCCGTAAATCCTTTTGCGTTCAAAGGCCAGAAGATCCACGGGTATTACGCCAGCCACCACCAAAACAGCTTGCGCAGAGACTGTTCGGTAGAAGCAAGCGATTCGCAGTGCACTCTGTCTCTGTACCATCATCATCGACTTACAGTATTTCTTTGTCTTCAGGAAGTCGGCTCATATTTCCACGCCGTATAGAAGGATCGAATGAGCTATCGCTATTAACAGTCGTCGTTTTCCCGATCTCTATCCCGTCGTATTTGCCATCAGGCGACTCAAGGATTCTCAATCCTCTCTGCCGCTTTCCGGGTTATTTTCTGTATATGAGGCCAGAAGGTCATCTTCGTATATCGAGGGTAACTCCAAGGTACTTGACTTCCCTCCTGGTCTCCATCTCGCATGTCCCCACCCTCATGTGCAGTATCGTCTGTATGCGCCTTCTCGTGAGAAACATCAGTTCCATTTTTTCTGTCCGTGGTCTGTCATCCATCATCCTACTCATCTCATGGTCTTGTTCGACGCCAGCTGCGCCAGTTCGGAGAACCTCTCCGTAATCACCGCTGCCACGTTATCAGCGTAGGCGACGAGGGTCACTGCGAGCGGCATCCCAAGCCGAAGCAAGCTATCATACAAGCCATTCCAGAAGTCAGGTCTCAGTATCGACCCCTGTGCCACCCGAGCGGTGATCTGTCTCGTTACTTGTCCTTCGATCGTCTCATACGTTATCCGTCTGTTTTTTAGGTAATCCTGCACAACCCCAAGCAGGTATGGCGGGATCCCAAAATTGCTTTTCAGCGCCTCCAAGATATTTTTCCTCCTGGCCGAGTTAAAAGTATTCCTAATGTCGAGCGTCATCAGCAACACTATAGGTCGCGCTGCGTGGCAGTATCTGTCTAGTTCCAGGAAAGAGTCGACCACCTTTTGGATCGCTCCAATCGTCGATCGACCCCTCCTGAAACCCAACTGCAAATCTGATAAGCCCTCTCCGGTCTGTATCGCATCCATCAGTCTCGGTATCAGTAATTGTTCAAGAGTTTACCAGTCGTGTCAAGTAAACTCAACGGTCGGTAAGCCGAATGCGTGCCAGGATCGCCCTACCTTTTGGGATAAGAACGAGCCTTGCCACCTTTCACCGGTCGCTGAACGTTCCTGTCGTCAAGCACGTGTACAGGTACAGGTACAGGTCGAGGAGTATCTCCGGTCGTAGACAAGCCACAAGCCGGAGGATCTCGGTACTCCGTTCGGTACCCGTCTTCATCGCATTCGTTGCTCATCAACCATAAAAACGGGGGTCATTTGTGCATCCACGTCATCCATCACGTTTGTCCTAATCGGGTGCGTCGGAAACAATCCGTGGACAATCCGTCCTGCTGTTTCGGCATCTTTAAGTTCCGGTGAGACACGGGCCCCTAGTTTCCCGGTCACGATCTTGTAACCGGTTTCCGAGTGATCCTCGATCACATCCTCGCAGAGCTTCTTCCAGCATCGCGTCTTGCTGTCCCGTATTGCTTTCGTCAGCGTCTTCCGTGATGTTTTGTATATGGCTTGGACGTTTTCCCTTTCGGGTCTGCCCCCTGCCCTTGTCACTCGTCGCCAATTTGTCAGGCATATCCTGCGTAGCTTGGTTATCTCGTTCGTCCACCAGTATTGTGATTGTCTTTGTTGTATCTGTCGACGTTTCGGCATTGTGCTTCTACACAAGATGTCTACTAATTTGGCCGTCTTGTCTGTCAGTCTTTCCGCTCTTTGCCGGCCCGTCAGTTCGGGGGGAATTCGCTCCCCTGGAGCCGGTGCTGCCATTAGCTCTTCCGAAAATTTTCGTCCGTCGAGTCTACGTAGATTCCACCGCGGGGGTTGATGGGTTCTCGTTCGTCTCGTTCCCGTCCGTCCCACCACTTCAAAGACGATATACTGGTGATCGCTGGCTGTGTAGTCTTCGATCACCCGCCATCCCCTCAGCCGTGGCAGGATTCTGTCCGATGTCATCGTTACGTCGGGGATAGAGTCTCCGACACCTCGCCGTCTATATGTCGGCGTATGTCTCGTATTTACCACTACTAGATCGAGCCTTGCGGCCATTTCCAGCAGTAGTCGTCGCGTTGATTCATTTCATTCATTCCCCACTCGGTCGCCCTCACGTTAATATCCCCCGCAACGATGACATCCTCGGGCATGTCCCTGATCCCGTCTTCTAGGAGTGCCGCCTTTCTTTTGAACTCCATCACGGTGCAGTTGGGTGTCAGGTAGACGCTGAGGTCAGTGACAGCGCCAACTGTGACCCAAACGTAGTTGTCCTCGATGCCGCGATTGGAGACTCTAGATTGGATGCCACCCCTTACCCAGATAGCCGTGGTCTCTGTCTCGTTTGTGATGTATGTCTGGGTCGTCCTTCTCCTGTATGGTTCACTCAGGATCAGGATGTCCGCGTCATATTCGTCGGCTATCTAAGGTAGGAGCATGTCTGCTGTCCTAGTTCGATTCAGGTTTCCCTGAATTATTCTGTCCGTCCTCCAACCCGTCCCCTGTACTCCTCCAGCGCGGCCCGGAACGCGGCACACCTGTGGGCAGACCGGCTTGTTTTTACATTCCGTCGCGTAGAGTCCGTATGTGCCACACTTGCGACAGCATTTCGTCCTGTCCTCTCCTGTGCATTCAGCTTTCACATGGCCGAAGCCCAGGCATCTGTAACATTTTGTTACCGTCAGTCGTTTCCGAACGCGGCAATGCATCCAGCCAATTCCGATCCGACCATACCGAAGCAATGCATCGGCTTTCCGCGATTCCAATTCGCAGACCGTCATATATTGCTAAGCGCGGTTCGGACCGAAAATTTGGACTCGGAAGTCCGCGTCTCGTCCCGTCTCTCGTCTGAGCGCGTCCGTCACGTCTTTCGGAGTCGCAACGCAGTCCAGATCCATGATCTCCAATTGGACCTTGGAGGTCATGGCCTTGACTTTGCCCGCTTCTCCGATCGTATCTTGGATCTGTCGTCCAAACATCTCTCGTCCGTCCGGCTTGTCTGCGTCTACCTACCGTACTATATCAGAGTACGTCGTGTCCGTACCCGGCTTGATCAAGACAGCCAGACCCCTTTTCTGGTAGGCCGGTCCGCTTCTGTCAGACCGATTCTTTGCGTCCGTTTTCTTTTTTGTCTTGTCTGATCTTTTTCGTGTTACCGTCTGCCAGTCCTTGGTCGGTTCCGTCGTCGGTGGCCTCTTTTGTGAGGGCTCTGGCGTGGTTCCGATCGACGAATGTTTTCATTTCATCCGTGGCGTTTCTTCGTTATTCTCCACTGTCGTGTCTGTATTATTGTTGTCTTGGGGACGTCTTCCTGAAACTGTGTCCGGTCGTTTGTGCAACGCAATATCCACAGTCTCGAGAAATGTCTTAATTCCCATCTTCACTGTCATGTTCATGTTCTTTAGTACGTTTACTGCTTTGGCCATTTTCGTCGCCGTCTCTTGTATGAGCCACAGTAGTTCCATCATGTCTCGTGTGGTATCATTTGTCATTGTGGATGTTTGTTCTGTCGTCGGTTCTTGGCTGTCAGCGGCAGAGGCGTAGCTCACCCTGCTGCCGCCGTTCGACACGCTGTCCGTCCTCTGTCGTCTTGGTAGGTTCAGTAGGCTCTGGTTCGTATTGTTGTGTCGTGTCGTCCTCCTCTTCCACGTGTACAAAGTGCATTATTATTATTATTATTATTAATTGTTACTAATACGCTAATGTATTCTTTCAATTTATTTTCCTTTTCACTTGCATGTAGTCCTGATTTTCTTTCATATATTCAATTGATATCTTCACGCGGCACAAGAGTTATTGAAGCATTTGTACCTCTCTTTTTTTATTTATATAATTGAAGTGAAAATAAAAAGTAGAGAAATGTCTTAAGCTGTCTATGTATTTGTTTTAGCTATCTATGAGTATGAATAATCATGAGGTTATTTGTTACAAGAGTAAAATGAATTAGAAATTCAAAATGATTAATTGTTCATTAAATGGAATCGTTGTTATCGAGATTTAATAAAATGAACCAAAGAGATGCAAAATTTTATATCTTGGTAAAAATATCAAATAAATAACTAAATATTTAATATTTTTAATAATTTAAATAAATAAAACAAAAATATGAAGTTTACATAAGATAATACAGTCTCATTTAATAATATTTCAACTATTAATATGGAATTATATTTTTCCAACCTATACTTAACAAGCCCCCTACATATTAATATAATCTTCGTAAAATATTGTCTAATGTATTGATATTATAATTATTCATTGTATGATTTTATTACCTTCTTATAACCGGTTTGAGAAGATTCTTAAAATTCTAACAAGACATTGTGTTTTATAATTTCGTCTGAGCTCTGAACTCATCGCTTAAATTATAAAAAGGTGCCTTGAACTATTTTTGTTAGTTATTTGAACAAACATTTTATACATTTCATCTTGTAATTCTTCAAATAAATTACATTCAAATAATTTTTATTTACAGACAAGAACTTCTCAAATGGAATGGATGGGGTTATAAAGATTCTGCCTTTATACTCAATGAGAAAGATATTATAAAATTTACAGGCAACAGGTTAGTTGAAAATTTAAATATTGTTTCCTTAAAAAGAAGTTTTGTTTGCACTTTTTTGAACATTTTTGTTTTTTCACTATAGTCTTTGTTTTTACCATCTTAGGCTTCAATCTTGGTTATTTTGTAAGATTTATGTATTTTAAATGTAGACAATAAATATTTGTTGAATTATTATTCATTAAAAATTAAGGAAAGAAGATAAAGTTACATATGTATGATGTTATCGTCTGTATATGTGGAATATATTCGTATATATTCCTTTATATATTCGTGCTAGCGTTATTCTTTATTATCTCGTGGGTGGCATCCTTCAAAGTAATCCCCACTTGATTGAATAACACGGTTCCATCGATGTTTCCACTTTTCACTTCAATTTGATTATATCAAACAATTTATTGTAGTTATATTAATCCCTGTATATTTATACTCATGTTTCTACATGAGATAAGTGAGAGTGGAGAGACATGCGAATACGCAGGAACTCACTTGACTTGCGCGAGTAAGACGAAAAGAGAGAGACAAGGATAGCCGCGTCATAGCGACTAGCCGCTCATGCTGATTGGTTGATACGAGACGAAAATGCGAAAGCGAGCTTGCGAAGCGGCAGAGTAGCTTTTTCGATACGATGACGAGCTGACGTCTGTGTTTTTTGTTTGTCCTTTTTTCCACGACACACCGGCTACAAAGAGAAGGGAAGGAAGTTATCTGTTCAAGTACGAATTCTGAGTTAGAGCTTCAGAGTGACTATTGTTGCGACGACGCATCGGTGTCAAGCACGAAAAAGATGATTCAGGGGTGTAGTGGCAGTGAATCAGTGGTGTAGTAAGAGACGATTTATCACATGAGACATCACACCTGCGCTTTAGGAGAAGACCGTACGTGCGTATTTAATCCTGCGTGGATACTCACAACGAAGTCCTCGACAAACATAACTCGAATACTTGCGTTAACGCACAATTTGTAAGTACCGACCCGATAGTTCTCTTTCTCTCTCTCTCGCCCCGCTTGTCTTAATGCTCCTTTATTAAAGAATCTTTGTCGATTACCGATCTGCGCATACGTTGTTGTTTTATTTCGAATGCCTTATCTTTTTGCGCCGATCTTTATTAACGTACCATCGAAATTCGCGCTTTTCAACTGTCACAGCGAATCCACGCCGTTTCAGCCATCCAGTAGACGACGCAAATCTACCCTAGGTTTCCAGCTGTATTTGTGCCTTTCGTATTTAACGCTTTCTGTTATGTTAACGGGGTAAACCGGGCTTACCCCGTTATAATATTTTACAAAGAAATAAATTTTATTTCACTTCTCATATACATATACAATTAGTTCATACAGTTTTGACCATAAGGCTTGTAATCTTTATTTTTTTATAGACGATTCTACCATTTCTATGCCTGTTTTTATAAAAAATATTTTAAACAAGTCAAAAATAGTACGAAAAATATTTTTCCTAATAGAATACTAAAATAAAGTTGATGTTATCAAAATTATCTTCCAAACTAACATCCAGAATTAAAAAATTTCCCCCAAAAAAAGTTTTCTAATATTCTACAGGTTTTAATTAATAATTAATTATGGATTACACTGTGCATTATTTGTAGTATAAAAATACAACTACTACGTATAGTTCCAACAGCGAGGTTTGGAACCTTTATTTTTATCATTGAACATTATACTTTTTTCGTACTTATTTTTATAAAAAATAATTCAGAATCAATCTAAAAAAAGTGAGCAATATTGTATAAAATGTAACGGACTGCGCAATTAATAAATATAATATTTCTGGAGTCTCAGCCTGTTGAGCTCCAAATCGCGGCGCGTGCGCAGAAGCGCAATCGACTATCGTTGAGTGCATCGATTATAGAAGAAAAAGAGAGTAAACCGACATAGTCAGTATAGCTGACGCGCTCATTCGATCGGACACATTTACTAACCTCGGAAAAACATACAAAATTAAAAGTTCGTTGTGAGTGAGAGATTTCGAGGGAGACATCAACAGTAAGAGTAACAACTGCAACAGTAACTAAGCAGAGGCATCATCGTCGGCAGCAGAGCCAGCAAGTGTCAGCAGCAGAGCCGACGTCATCCAGCAAAAGGCGGCTTCTGACGATCGAACGACCAGCCGGCGCTCGAAGCCACGGCATCACATCCAGGCAGATCTTTGCTGACGTGCCAGATACACACCTTCTCCCAGGAGATGTTTAGAGTCACGGCTAGTTATCGTGACCCATTGCACAAGTAAATTTCGCGATTTGATAAATGTAACGCGTTGCGAATAGCGAAATTTCTGCCCTTAGTCCGCATTGAATTGTTTCCCTCTCTCAATCAGATTTAGTTTGTTAAGTTTATTATCTTCATTGTTATTGCGAACAAATCTCTCGGCCACACTTTCCTTTGTTATCTGATTTCATTTGAGACAATATATACGTTTTTTGTACCAGATTCTAAGTTGTTCTTTGTGTAGCACATGTTGGCTCGATTTACCTAACTTTCCTCTTTTCACGACTTTCAGCACACTTAGCTAGCCAGAACAAGCTGCTGGACTCCGAGTTGGCGTAAACTCGGCAATGAAAAACATTTAAATAAATAGCTGACGGCGGGTGAATTTCACCCAATATTCACCCCGTTACATGGCGCCCTACGGTCAGTAAAACCCACACCGCCGAGAAAGTCGAGAAAATTCTCAAAACAAAGTATTTTTGCCGAGAATCGCGTGCGCGGAGAAAGAAGCTCACGCTTTGTTTATGTTTTGGTTCAGGTGAGAGTGAGTTAACGCGCGGAGATCGGAGCGAAAGACAGGCTCACTCCAAAGTATTGACTCTGTCGCATTATATACAAGTGTGTATAATACATATGCTTTCCGGTCGAGAGCAATAATAGTAGGCGACATAGTCCAAGGAAAAGATTGCAGTAACGGCTAGCGCGGCTAGAAGTGCGAACAGCCGAAATTTGTTTTTTGTAAAGCTGCGCGCATAATAAGTAGCGAGCTAAGGGCTTAAGGCCGGCACACACCGAGCGGCGACTTTAGGCCCAATCCACACAAGGGATTGGAATTTTAACTTTTATTGCTAATTTCTGATTTTTACGAGGAAATTTTTCTAAGCGAAAATTAGTGATACTAGCGGTTTGAAAAAAATTGTTTTTTATTATTTTTTAATTTTTTTGTTGACGTGTTAATTTATCGAGATTTATTTTTTTTTGCTGCATGCTACGAGCCAAAATTTTAATTTAGATTAATTTTTTAGAAAATCCGCTGCAATAAATACGCGTGATATTTTTTGTTTGTTTCTTTTATTTATACAAAATTTTTTATTTTTACATACGAAAAATATTTTATTGTATTTAATTGTTTTCCCGTGAGTGCTATTGCGGAGTTTAATTGTACATTATTTTTTTTTTTTTTATTAATTTGAGAACTGGCATGTTCGATGTTGCTACAATAGACTAAGCGAACTGGACTAGCAAAGAGTGCGCACAATTGAGACTAGAACGGCCGGGCCAGCAAACAGCTGATGCCGGGCGATAGATAGGCTACATTGTATAATTTGTGGCAGAAATAAGGTCGTACTCACGAGCTCCGCGTTCAAGGTTAGCAAAAAGATCGCTAAGGCGCACATTAAATTGAAAAGCCGAAAGATTTCATTTAGCGTTTGCTCCCACTTGGGGTAATAGGAGACGTCTAGTGTCGATTAGGCCAAAAATAACAAGCGCCTCTTATACCCAGCGGCATCGAAAATGGCGACACGAAAGGAAAAATTGGACGAGTGGGCATCGCAGCTCATACAAAATAACGTATCTCGGTCAATACAAGTCTTCGAGGAGATAATGCACGCCGCTCCAGCAAGGGCCAACAAAGGACCCAAAGTCACCAGCTAGACCATACCAGCCTCGATGTTAATGAAATAGAGATGGAGACCACAGACGGCGTCAGGTTCAAGGTCATCAGTGAAGTGGCACAGTTGATGCAAGATCTGATCAGAAGGATCAGAGACTCGTCGTAAGTCGTCCAAGAATTCAGAAAAGGATCGTGAGAACCTGGCTGAGGTCCTGAATGTAGTCGAGCGGCTACAGAAGTTATACGGTATACGAGTCTCGGGAACGCGCCATTAATGAGGTGGTCTACAGAATAGGGGTTATTGAAAATGACGTCGACTTTGTCGTGGTATATACGATGCTCAAACTTGTACTGCTGGTACTTCGGACACGACATGATTCTAGATACAAACCTCCACTATCTAACAGGTAATCTAAGAACCTAATACTTGAATATCGAAATTCGCCCTTTGTAATGTGATTTTCAAATCATCATCAATCATCTGTTAGAAAATCTTTTAAATAAGGCATTTCTCATTTACCATAATCACATAACTCAAGTACTCTAACGCGTGTGGCTCGTATTCGGAACCAAACAACGTATTCATCAGACGTATAAATGTTGCGGGTGCATTCACTAACTCGAAGATCATTTAGTTGCATTTTCACAGGCCGCATCAGTGCACTGAAAGCCGTATGCTATTTGCTCTTTTCCGCCATAGATAGCTGCAGGTGTACACTTTTTCGTTCTTGCACCTTGAACTTCAATCATATGTACAATTAGATTTATCTGCGCTGAGAATTTCTTCGATACCATGCGTTCCACTAACGGCTCCATCCGATTCCATTCTAGGTCCTGCAGGACTGACGGTCTTGCCATCTGTGCCATCAGCTTTGCCACTCCGTAGTTCGACCCGATAAGAAAAGCGATTTGACAGTGCTTCTTTTGCACAAACGCATGTCAATCACCTCGTCCTAAACTTAGTTAGTTAGCAGCTCCTATTAGCAGCTCCGACATCGACAAAAGTTTACGTTCTTTCATGAGGTCAGCCCCGTTTCATATGTTCTCGAGCCAAATTAAATCTGTGCTCGCGTTGCCTTCACCGCCATCTTCCTTTCTCTGACTATCCTTCTAATGTCTCACGTTATAGATTATAGATTCATCGAAATTTGACTTTTCCATG